ACGGGGAGGGAGCTGCCTGTGCCTGCGGGTGGTGGAAAGCCCAAATGAACTTGCTGAGCAGGTTCCCAGCTCGGAGAGCTCCTCGGAGGGCAGGAGGGGTGTGGTTATGCAGCAGGGGTGCAGCACGGGGAAGTCTCTGCTGTTAAACAAATTGCTGGGGTTTGAGTTTTTATAAAATCCACGTGCGGGGATGGGCGTATCTGTGTCTGAACAGGTTCTGGAGAGATCACTGCCCGGGTGGGAGAGAAACTGGTGGTGGCAGCCAGCAAGGATGGTGCTTTGGGACGTCCTGAGGAGGTGGGGAGACCAGGGATGAGCTCAGAAGCAGTGATTGGCACAGTTTAGATTTTCAGACCTTTAAGTGTCACCTGAACAGTGGCTATTTGAAGTCGTTTCTGTGCAATGAATGTATATTTATCTGAACGTCTGCAAATGTGCACTGCTCTGATAAGAAGAAAGCAGTACAAGTAATGATTTTGATCGTGTAAATCAGCTGTTATTGTACTGAGACTAGTGCAACAGCTAGCAGATCTCAGCAGTGCTGCTGGCTGGCTCTTTCCTCTTCTGTGTCCTTAGACAGCAAATAAATACAAGTTTAAAGAGGCTGAAAAGAACACTGAAGTGGTAGATTTTTTTATTGTTTTTAATCTACCCCACAGAACTGTAGGTAAATGAGGACTTTACATTGTGCATAATGCATGGTATCCAAGCTGGCCTTGAGTTTAACCCTGTTACTCATTAATTTCTCCTGTTCAGTTTTTCTGTTTAGGGGAACTGAGTCCCACTTGGTTTGGGGCTCCCTTGGTGCGCAAAATAGGTGGGTTTTTGTTTGTTTGTTTGTTCGTTTTTTAACTTTTCTAATTAAAAATCAGCGAAGGAATAAGGCCTTTGTTGGAGCTCAAGCAGTGCTGGCCTTCTCTTGGTTGCACCAAGCGTGGGGCTCTTCTCCAGCTCTGCCTGGTAGGTGGGCTTGCAGCAGGCTTTGCCTCCTGCAGGGAATGCTGCTGAGAAGCAGTTCTCTTCCTGAGCTTGTCAGAGCACCCAGGCTGTGCGAAGTGTTGTTGCACATCTCCGTGCTTTGTGTTCTAACTCAGGGCTCCTCTGCATCACTTGTGGCAGTGGGACAGCCCTGGAGCACCATCTGTCCCCACCCATAAAACCCACCAGGAGTTCTTGCAGAACAGCTCATTGCGTTGCTGTGCCTACCTCAGTATTTAAAGCAATGAAACACATCCCCGTTCTGCTAGAGAGCAGAACATGCGAAACAGTAACCCTAGAGAACAGCACTCCGCGTGGCTCCATGGCATCTCGCAGTGAACCTCAGTTACGATATTCAGAGGGTGAGCTGGGGCCAATTTTTAGCTCCATGATACTCATTTATCAAGTGAGGCCTTCCCAGTATCTCTTCTTCCTGTGATGAAGCTCCATTTGCTCCGTGAAGGATGGTCTGGCTGCTTTCTGGCCCAGCAGCCCTGCTGACTCTTGCCCCAGCGCTCGCTGCAGGCCGGGGCTGCCCATGGTGTGTGCAGCATTCCTGCCTCCAAGCAGGGCAGGGCTGTGCATGTCTCAGCACACTCGGCCACTGCAACGTGACGTCAGCAAGGTGGGGAGGAGTCGGGTTATTGCCTGTGTTCAGGATCCAGGTGCGGTCGGTCTGTGTTAGGCTCGCTTTAACATCGTTCATTCCATCATGACTGGATCCCAAAGCCCTTCCATGCCACCCAAGATATACATTTAAATGCTTTAGGTGTCCTTATTTCATGTAAGTATATTCTAATGAGATGTAAGTGCAGTATCTTCCCCTCAGCCAGCCCTCATGTGAGGACTTTTCTACTTGCATGGTCTAGAAATTTCAGGCACAACAATCCGGTTACATCAGTACAACAGAGACAACCCAAGGATTCTCAAGAATTCCAAGAAAACAATGCTTTTCTGGTCTTCTAAAATTAATGACACTGTGACATGATGGAAGCACGTTCTCTACACACAAGAAGGCTCATTTTCCCCTCGATTTTCCAAGGTGAATAGATTGGCTTTTAATGAACTGCAAGGAAAAAAAAAAAATAAAGAAAGAAAGAAAAAAAGTAATAGCAGCAATAATTGCATTTTGCTTATTTTGTAGACAAAAAAAAAAACAGTATGAAGATGCCTAAGTGTTATCAAATGTTTTCAATTTACTCTTGGCACATTTATTTCCACGCTTGAGCTAGAAACTGAATGGATGCCAAACCAAGAGAATGGGTGCCTGGAAACCAAGCTGTCAAGAATTGAAATAACGTTTCAGAAAGCCGTACTTTTATTTGGAGACATCAGCAAGGTTCTGTTGCATTGCTCTGGTAAGCGGCAAAGAGCATAAAGCCAAAGGCATTTGATCGGTCTGTGTGCAGCACTTAGGTGCAACAAGACAATGTATTTAAACAAATGTTTTGATTAATAATCCATTGCATTTGCTTTTGATACTTCATAATTATTTTCATTAAAGTGGCAATATGTTTGTAGTAAGCAGTACTCTGCCAAGCTTATCCTTAATGTGTGTTGGACACTGAACTGATACATGTCTGGCATTTTTACTGTTATGGTTTTGCCTCTTTTGTTTTTTACGGTCTTGACAATGATCGCAGATGTCCCTAAGTGCACACGGAATGATAGAGAGAAGCACGTTGATCTAGTTTCCACAATCCATTTAAAGTCTTCTGGAAAAACTCAGCTCCTATTGTCTGTGCACTGTGGGTTCCGTATCCCGCTGCAGCCACGCAGATGAGTGATTCCCACAGAGGCTCTCGAGCTCATAAATCGCAGAGCAGCCACTGCAGGGTGAGGGCTGCCACACAGCCACTGCTGTACCGCTCTGTTACAGTCTGGTTTAGGGCAACTTTTTTTACAGAATCATAGGGGTTGGGATGGAGTTCTGCAGATCTTCTAGTCCAGCTCCTGCTACAGCAGGCTGCCTACAGCAGGTTACACAGAAAAGCAGTTGGGCGGGTTTTGAGTATCTCCAGAAGAGGAGCGTCCTCAACCTCTCTGGGCAGCTCCCAGCATCCTGTCCTCCACACAGTAAAGTTCTTCCTCATGTTTGTATGGAACTTCCTACGTTCCAGTTTGTGTCCACCGAAAAGAGTCTGGCCCATCCACTTGCTCCCACCCTTTAGATATCTATAAGCAGTGATGAAATCACCAGCCTTCTCTTTTCTGGGCTGAACAGCCCCAGGTCTCTCAGCCTTTCTTCACACAGGCGGTGCTCCAGGCCCCCAGCCATCTTTGCAGCCCCGTGCTGGACTCTCTCTAGCAGCTCCCTGTCTTCCTTAAACTGAGGAGCCCAGAACCAGACAGTGCTTGATGTTTTACTATAAGCATTTTTATTCTGCTGTTTCTTTTTTACATTGGAATGAATCCGTGATTCTAAACAGGTACTTCTGCAAGATGCGCGCTTTCATTGCTTTGTACAGATTTTGCCTTCCCACTGTTATAAAAATGTAGTAAAATATTGCGTGCAGTACTGAAGGTAGGCCTGCCTTTTTATTGTAACACTGAAGACAACCTATTCCCAAACGGCCTGTATTTACAAAGAAAGACACATGGATATTTGATTTCAATATTTTGGGATGGATGCTCACCGTGAGAGCAGCACAGCAATTTAATGCACTCTGTCACTCTGCAAGGGCTGAAGAAGGGCTGAGGACAACACTTATTTCACATGTGCCACACTGCAGGAGGATCGGGAGAACTTAAACACAGAGCTGGCACTGGAATTTCAGGCATTGTATAATTTTCCTTGCTGACAAACGGATAGGAGATAGCAGCAGAAAGCCTCCAAACATTAGCCACACTGCACTCCAGCAAGCAACAGTTACACACAATTGGGTACTATGTCACCTTGCTCCGCCATGGAAATTTCAGAAGAACGAACCAATGAAAACTTGGCGTTGTGTTTACAAGCAGAACGTGCTACCCGGGAAAGCAAAGGGAACATCCTCGTGCTGCTGGCCGCGCTGCCTCTGGGCCGCGGGCGTGGGGCCGGGCTTCGCAGGGAGGCTCCGGGGGCCGTGCCAGTTTCCTCTGGGCGAAAGCACGAGGGATTCCTCCTGCTGAAGATCGAAGCCCTTAGAAGCGCCGTTCTTTTGTTTCTCAACGTTCCCAAAGCTGAGAGCTTGAGCGTACAGCGATATCTTACCCAAAGCACAAGCGTACCGAATGGGCTTGACGTAGTGCTGACGTGCTGCTGATAGCAGCAGGGACTCAGGGCTTTACAGCCTGCAGAGTTGCCACGAGGCGCATAAACTCCTCATTTGCAGAGGTACCAGAAGGCAGGGGCTGTTCGTCCTGCCTCGGGCAGGCGATACATTCCTGCGAGGGCCACGTCTGGATGTCAGCAGTGAGGTTATCGTACAGCCCGGCAGCAGCAGCTCAAAAGGAAACAAGGCGCGAAGCAGGAAAGACCAGCACAACCAATCCCAAAGCCCAACTCCGGGCTTTATTCATCTTCTTACGCAGCGAACGCAAAACTCAACAAAGCGCTCCGCTCAGCAGCGGCCCGACAGACAAAGCCCGCAGCGGGAGCTGCCCTGCTCTTCCCACTGCGCCGGGAAGGAACGTTCCCAAGGAAACTCGCCGCCACGCGCGGTCAGTTCACGCGTAGCACTCCTCCGCCCGACCGCGCCGGCTCCGAGGAGCGCCTCCCCGTGACGCAGCCCCACGCGCCGGCCACCACCTCGCCGCCCCGCGCCACAGCCGCCGGCCTGGGCTTCGGGTTGGGGTTATGGCTGGAGCCGGGCCCCGCCCCACCGAGCGCCGCCCACCCCCGAGCTGCAGCGCCCGCAGCCCCCACTCCCCAACTATACGCACTCGGCCGAGCTCGCCGCCCCCAATCCCCTCAGAGCCCGCCCCTTCCCCGCCACGCCATTGGCCGATCGCGCCGTCTCTCCGGCGCCGCCTCCGCCGATTGGGCGAGGAGGGGGCGCCCCCTCGTCCCTCCCGGTTCTGTCGGTTGAGGCGAGCCGAGAGTAAATAGAAGCAGGAGCGCAAAATGGCGGAGCCGCCGAGCTCCGGTCGTGGCGCGGCGTCGCCGGAGCGAGAGTCGTTCTGCGTCAGGCCGGGCCCGGACGCGAAGGCCTCCCGCGGGTCGCAGCCAGCCTCCAAGAAGCTGAAGGGAGCCGACGAGAGGGGCCCGAAGGGCACCAAGCGCGTCAACGGCGAAGGGGGCGGCGGCGGGAGCGGGAGCGGCAAGCAGCAGCAGCAGCAGCCGCTGCAGCAGCCGCTGCCCGCGGCGGTGCCGAGCTACAGCAACCCCGCGGCGTGGGGCTTCGCCGCGCTGCCGCCAGGGCCCTCTGTCAGCGCGGCCGGCTTCGCCTTCCCCTCGCCGCTGCCCCGGAAGCTGCTGCCGCCCGCCCTGCTGCTGCCGTCCGCCGCCTCTCCCTCCCCGTCCTGCCCGCAGCACCGCCACCATCGGCACCGCCCGGCTCCGGCCGGAGAGGCCGCCAAGCCCAAGAGGCCGAAGGAGAAGCGAGACAAGGAGAGGAGGAAGCACGGAGCGCTGCCCGCGCTCGGAGATGGCGGCGGGGCCCTGAGCGCGGCGGGCCGGGAAGAGAACGGCGAGGTGAAGCTGCTGCTGCAGAAAGGTGGGCGCCGCGCCGGGAGCGGCGGCGGGGCGGGGCGCCGGGGGCAGCACCGTGCGGGGCGGGAAGCCGTGTGGTGCGGGGCGCAGCGGGACGGCCGTGCCGAGCAGGGGAGGGGAAGCGCGCGTCGGCTCCGCGGGAGCGCGGTATCGTAACGTAACGAGCGGTAAGTGCGCGGGAAGGCGGCGGCGGCCCGACCGCCTTCAACGCTGTCAAAAAAGGGGGTGTGGAATTAGCTATGGCGTCAGGCAGAAGCTGCCAGAGGCCTGAGGTTTTCTTACCTATTAGGGAAGTCAGGGTGTCTGGTGATTGCCTGGAGATCTGCGAGCAGAACTGAGTTTCTGCCGTTGCTACGGAGAAGACCGTATGTTTACGCAAAACATATTTGTGAAGAATTAAAAGCCATCTCATTGATTGGGCCGTTAATTTGACGGGCGAAGTCGTGCCCTTTGCGTTGAGGCGTGCTGACCTGCGCGGCTCCTGCAGCTGCTCCCGGGGCTCCTGGCTGGAAGCTGCTGAGCGATGCTGCGGAGCGCTGCCTTGGCTCCTTCCTGGGAAGGACTAAAATTGCCGTTGCCGCTGGATAAGGCGTTAGGCCGAACTTGGTGCTGGCAGAGACCGACGGTGGGTGCTTAGAAAGTGCAAGGCGGTGCACGAATCTGTTTTTTATTTCCAATATATCCTCTCCTGGTCTTTGGTGACCTTAAAGCAGATGTTGGTGCGATTGCATTTATGTTAAAAAAGAAAGAGCTTGAAACGTTTGCTCTGATGAAGTTTCTTTCAAAGGAAAGATAAATTCTAGCATTTACGTAGGCCGAGCTTGCTTCAGTTTTGGCTTCTACATTGTGCTTCCAAGGTGAAGATGAATTCTCAGTGTGCCACTTTTTGTCCAGCTGCATTTTCTGCTGGTTTCCACTAGTATCTGAGTCTCTGGTTCAGCTTTAGATATTCAGGTTACATTTGAGATTTGGGTTTTTTTCTTTTTTTGAATTGTGTGTGTTCCTTTGGTTCAGCACATTGTATGCATCTTCCTATTGGGGTCTTGATCACTACTGTGCAAGCAGGCTCAAAGTGCATCGCTGTAATGCTTTCAAATATTTCAGTTCTGATGAGCTTCCTTTTCTTCATTCTTGTTTGAAAGATGAATTGTGAAAAATCTTTAGAAACGATTTTCATTACAAACTTAGTTTTGGTGAAACCTTTTTGTTGTGCTCAATAGCTGCTGAGAAACTCCCACTGTATCTTCCTTGCCAAAATGTGGAAGTAATAACCATATTCACTTGGATTGCCATGATGTCCTACGCCACTGTGCTAATAAATCTGTAAGAACAGTATTACAGTAATGGGATGAAATATTCTTGCAAGTTGGTGAGAGAAATGATGACAGTGATGGTGTCAATGGAGTCATTATTTACCCTGGTAAAAGCCTGATAGAGAACATCCTGTAGCAGGGAAGGATGCTTTTTGTGACGAGCACAAAGTTTTAACTGCTGTTTGCTCAGAACAGGTGTTTTTAGCTTTAATTTGTTTTTGAAAGCTTGAATACAGGCAACAAACAACATTTTCCAAGGCAAACGATCCCTTTATGGTGTCAGGGTCTCAAGATTTGTTTAGAGGAAGCGGTTTCTGTAACTATAAGTTGGTGACAGTTTTGTGCAGGGTTGGAAAACTTTGTGTTCACTGAACTGTGTATTTTTTTTTTTTTTTCAGAATTGTGGGGTGCACTGCATTCTCTGCCGTGAGCATCCTGCCTTTTAGAAGTGGCTCCATATTGGATATGGATATATCCATATTGGATATGGATATATCTATTTATGTAGATTAAAGATCAGGTTTGTGCTGTTGATAGTGTGAATAATTTACTTGGAAGGAGGAAGGCAATTATGATGCAGGGACTAAAAGAATGACCCAGGAGAATGAGGGAGGGCATTCAGAATGCTCACTGCAGAGGAAGATGAAGAGTGGTATGGTAAGGCAGGGGGAGGGTGGTGTGTTCTGGAAGAGGATACCAGAGGATTTCAGGGTCCAGGGTATTTTGGAGTGTGTGAATTTAAGATCCTTCCATGAAGGAGGGAGGAATTAGCATTCAGAAGTTGTTCAGGAGGGAGGTGATCTTGGTATGGGGTGAAAAGCTCATAGTTAGATGCTGTGGAAAAGGAAGGAAAGATAGAGGAAGAGGAAGATGGGAGAGAGAAGTGTAGGCAGCCTGCAGGTGTGATGATGGTCAGCTTAAAGGATTTCATATAATTAAAAAACAAAACACCCACAAAACCAAAAAATCTGAGAGGCATGCTTGCACAAATTATATAGGGAGAAGGTAGGGATTAAATGTGTCCCTCCTAAATGAATGAGTTTGTAAAAGCTGTCATATGTACAGCTGGTAATGCTTTCTGAAAATCAGCCTAATGCAGGCAAATGCAGTCTGCTTTTTCTGCAGTCTGTGGTTAGGCAGCCTTCTTTGCTTGCAGTGCTGTGGAAAATGAGCAGCAACATGGGATTGGCAGTACTGTTCTTAGCATTCACAACTGATAGATATGTCAGTTTCTTGCCTGCCAGAAGGAAAATGGTGCAGCTTAGGAGGCTGTGATCTAAAAGAAATGACAGTGATTGAAAAGTAAGCAGGTGGGACAGGTGAGACTTCCATGGTTGTTATGAGGTTCTGAAGGTGCAAAAACTCCACTGTCTCCTTTGCAACTGAAGTGCATGTGAATTGCATGTAGGTACAAGAGGTGCAGTGAGCTTGGTGCTGAGGAGGCTGCTGGGAGTTGGGCTTCTGATCTGTGTTGAGCTGTGTGCGTACCCTTCTGTGTGGAGCAGTTTCTGAGCTGAGAGAAAAAGCTGGTAAAGGAGGAAGGGCCTGTGTGAGCTTAGAGCAGGGAAAATGAGGAGTGAAGTTAGGGGGAGGAATGGCCAGATGTGTGCCACGAGGCTGCTGGGACTGCGGGGCAACAGGAGGCATCACGGTGCACAGTGATGGGGAGTGAAGGAACATGAGGGCTGGATTTGGAAAATGGTCATCACAGGGCTTGCAAATGGAGTGGTACCCATAGCATTCTCCTAACTGTAGTGCTGATAGCATGGTGTGTTGACACAGAGGAGGAAATGGTGAGGAGTTTGCACCTACCATCTTCTTTTGCACCTACTGTCTCTAGAAGAGCTGAATATGAGAGCTGATGTCCTTGGCCTGCAGTGCGGTTCTGAGGCTGCAGAGCCTGGCTGTGAGGTGCCCAAGGTGTTGAGCTTGGTTACGGCGCAGATGGATGATGACTTTGAGAGGTGTTTTCGTATCTCCTTCCTTGAACAAATGTTCACTCTATGATTTTTCTGATCTTTTCCTTCACTGGAAGGACCTTGAACTTGCAGAGTCATAGCCAGGCCTGCCAGCCTGTGGCTGGAGGAGGTGAATGGAGCAGAGTGAGTCTCGGGGTAATAGTCTGGCATGCAGAGAGCTGGGAAGAGCACTTTGCCACCTGTGTAACTTATCCTGCAAATGAGGGATCGAGTCTGTTTAAAATAAGCTTAAATTTTACTTGACAAGTCTATTTTGGGTAATGGAATTAAAAGTTATGTAACTAGTTTTGTTTTAAAAACATGGTGTGAATCTGATGGAAATGTCTGCCTTACCAGTTTATGACTCTACCAGTTCAGTTAGTTATTTAACTGATAGCCTGCTCGAGCAGTTCATAGTTGAAATAGTTTTGTTAGCAGTGCAAAGCTCAGATGAGCCACTCCCCACTTCATCAGCCTAGGGCGGCTTGTTTTTGTGTTTTGTTTTGTTCCAGGCTTACTGCAGGGCCTGAGCCAAATTCATCAAACATCTTCTGTGTTTCCTTGCCATTTCTGTGTACAGCTTCCCTCTCTCTCCTTCCCTCCTTCAGTTTTTTTTTTTTTTCCTCAATGATGTCTTTGCTGATAAGGCTGCCTCAGTATGCAAGCAATTACAAAACGAGATTGGTATTTTTAACTTGCTGATGGGGTTTTCCCATGTGAGCAAGAAAGCAAAGCTGAGTATGGTTCTGTAGCTCTTAGGTCTTTTTTTCTGCCTCCTGCTGCCTTTGAAACATAGATTAAATAGTGTTTTAGAACAGTTGCCAGCGACTCTTCGGATACCTTTGTGGCTTTGACTTGCGTGGCACTTCTGGTTTGTAAACCTGTAAAACATAGCACTTTTCAGACTTTCTGAGTTCAGCTTGCATCTGGCAGAGGCTCATTTCATGGTCTAAATTGGGTTGGAGAAAGCTTTGGACATAATTCTGTTTCCCTGCTTTAGATCTGGGGCCACCATCTGATGAAATAGATTGTCTTTTTCCTTCTGCTAAACGTTACCTTTTTCTGATATCTTCTCCTTCCTTTTCCCTGTTTTTTGGTACTGTCTTGTTTAACTCAAACACCATCTTTGCCCCCAGCTGCTCTCGGTTCAGCAGTCACATCCACACTTGTGAGGCCTCTCCTCTGAATTCTTTGTTCCTGTCTGGAAGCACCACGTCCTTTGGTTGTAGAATCGCAGGTCGTTTTTCTCACTTGAGGGAAGTGCACTGAGTGGTCAGACCTGAAACCTCTTTGCAGGCTGTTTTTGCAGCTGCCACGTTCTCTGCTGCTGATTTCTGATGCAATTCTCCAGTGCTCGTGCTTCACATTGGCTCATGTGCCGCTGCATGTGGAAGGTCTCCTTTCAAACTGCAAAGATCAGAGGAATGGCGGAGATGAAGTTGAAAGTAATTGCAGGTTTTCTGTTTCTGAAAAAGATCTTCCTTCCCTCTCGTTTGTGGAGGGGTTGGGGGAATGCACTCAGCTGGCAAGGGGATTTCTGTAGTCATATTGTGCATTTTAAACTTGAGTTACTGAGTGGGTTGTCTATCAAATATTCCTTTTTTTTCAATAAAAAACTGCTGGGACTTCTTTTGTCTCACAAGTATTTTAAGGGTTTCTTTTTGTACGACAAGTCAGGAATGTGCTCAACAACAGTACAGGGGTTGTCTGACAGGATACAAATGCAGGTGACA